TCTCTCCCAGGAAGCCGATGCCAGTATTCTTACGTGGCATTCCCGCAAGGCTGAGCGCGCCGGGAGCTCTACCCTGGTGGTGGAGGCCAACGCCGTGTCCGAGTGCTTGGCTGAGGCCGAGTGGGTTACCTCGGATTTCTGAAGCAAAAGATTACCGATGCGAGCTCCGAGACCGACGCACTATGAACCGGTAAATTCGAGTCGCGACGATCATGGAGCAAAATCCCGACCTGGACATCATCGCTATGACCGACAACAAATAGCTGTGCGATTGTATCACTCGGGAACAGTTCGCCTCAACCGAGAAGCGAGCAGCCCTGAATATTGTTGTGGTTCGGGACTCGCTGGAGAACCTCGGTGGTCAGCGTCGCTGGTTTCCGCGCGAACTGAACCCTGCGGACGCTTTGGCGAAGTCAAAGGGGAGCGTGCAACTTCTCGTCTTACAACGTATGCAGACGGCTCAGTCACCTGCAGGGAAGCGCAAGCCGAGACCAACCATTTATAATAATACTCCTTCGCCGAACACATCATCTTCCCGTGCGTCACCCAATCTTCCCCCGATGCGTTCCCCCTCTACCCAGCCTGCTGCGAGCTCAGCTCTTTCGACGCGCGATGCTTGAAATTGCCCTTATCCCGCAGAGGGTGTGTCAGCATGTTATGAGGTATCGCCGTTTACAGCTTGCGACTTCGGCTCGGTGGCCGGGGCCTCCCTGGCCTTCGGAGCCATGCTGCCCAGGGAATCATCGCCTGGATCTTTGGCCCATCTACTCGACGGCCTACCAGTTTCAGAGGGGGAGCAGGGTCAGCAGGTCGACTTGGACGGCGACAACATGGCCTGCGTTTTCCACGACTGCGAGGAACATGATGACAAGGTGGGCGACGGGGAGGTTAGCTCAGGCGGCTCGCCGGCCACAGCGGCCGATGGCCCATGGGCTGATCCTCAAAGCTCTACAAGTCAGGCTTTTGTTTCATCCGCTGATGGCTTAGCGCCAGCTGCGCCTCCTCTGAAGCATCCCAGCGCTGTCGCGCGCTCCGAGAAGAAAGGGGGGCAGATGGGGCGCGCGAGAGATCTCGGGGTTTCCTTCAGAGGACTCTGGAGGAGATTCGCCTGGGCGCGAGCTTCCGAGACCCCGCGGGCCTGGGTTGTGGGAGTTGCAGAGATCGACGAGGAGCTGCGTGGCGAGCAGCGCAGGTCCACCACCGCGCGGAACCCGCACTCTTTGGACCGTCTTAAGTCGTTTATGTAATTATTAAGTCCAAGGGCCGATGCATCATCGCATCATCGCCCGCGACGGTGGCGATAGCGGCGTCGTGAACCTGGCGCTCATGGAGGATGCTGACCCGGGGGGTCTGTCATCCGAGGTCGGCCTGCACAAAGGGGGAGAATATGAAGAAATGGGGTGGCGGGGTCATCCAGCGCCGAGGCGAGCGTGCGACGAGGCTACGTGGAGTGGCAGAGTATGAGAGGACCCTCGATGAGCACGTTGGCCGCCTCAAGCTCCCTGAGTGGATGCCATCCGATTCGGTGCCAATTATCCATTGCCTCAGAGGACGTGGTGCGCCCGTGCTGGCCGCGAGCCAAAACCTCGAGCTGGAGGTGCACCGCTAGGAGAAAGTGACGGACAAGATGGAATCCATGGAAGGTGGTTCGGTTTCCCGTCGGACGAGGATCATCCGGCTGCAGGCGGAGGGAGACGACGCTCGAGCTGAGTCTCAGCGGCTCAAGCTAAAGCGGCACCTCATGTTGCAACAGACCAGGGAAGCGTTGATCAGGCAACGAGGCGAGGCGGATAACGGAGTCGTCTACGCCCGAAGTCAATTTGAGGCACTGGAGTACAACGTCACAGAGGTGATCGAGCCCAAGGCCGCGAATCCGCGAATAAGGCTAGCTACACCCAGGGACTGCCGACCTTCCTCTACAGATTCGCGGTGCATTTGGAGATGCAACGCATACAGCGTGCCAGAATGTGCCAGCTCGCGCAGTCCTCTTACAACTTCCACACCTGGGCTTCCTGGAGCCGCTACTTCAAGAAGATGCTGCGAGTGCGAATCCACGGGATCCGGTGCGCCCTGAATGCGCCCTGAATGGCCAGAGGATCAATTTCAGCTTGCTGGCGGACCTGGAGGTAACCGCGGATGTTTCGACAAGGCTCCGATAACTTACCAGGAATATCCTAGGCCGCGCGCGCTTTAGTAAACAGACTCGACCCTCGACCATCCAGGCCGTCGAAGCAAGATGGGCTCAGCACCGATGGCGCCGTCAGAACGGGGAGGTCACGCATTGGGCCGCGCAGGCCAAGGACGTCGAGGACGCGGGGGGCTTGAGCGAAGGTGATGGCGAGCAGGAGGAGAATCCCAGTGGTGGACCACCTGGCGCAGCGTCCGGTGGCGACCCCGCCGGCGACTTCCCGCGGCGCCCTGAGACGCCCTACGAATCCTGCCTGGAGAGGAAGCCCTCGGCCGACGCGAAAGCAAATGCAGAGGGAGAGCAGCGATCCAAGGGGCCGAAGCCGGCCCGGGAACTGGCTGCAGGCGAGGCCCAGGCAACGAGAGGATCCGAATGATCTGCCGCTGCTTCCTCGTCGGCACAGCGCCCTCGTGCCGAGGGGGTCATCGTCGACGACGGGGTCAAGGAGACAGTAAAAGAAACGCCGGTGCCCGACGACCAGCCGTTACTCCCCAGGCCGAAGTGCATCGGGACCGTCGGTGTCTACGCTTTGAGTCCAGACGATCACGACAACGTTGCCGTCCTGGTCCACCGTCGAGCAATGCGGTGAGCTGCCCGCTGGCGGTCGCTACTCCAGGGGGACAGCTCGACCAGAAGGATATGGGCGTTGCTCGCAAATGGGGCCTGAATTTCGATTGCGCCGCCAGGCACGTTGCGAGTCGGGAGCTCGATGAACAGGCCAGACTGCGCTGTTATCGGGGCAACTTGGCGGATATTCCGAATGACAAGACTACGAATCCACCTCGCGTGAACTACGGGGCCCTCCTCCCGGAACGTCCCTGGATCAATGGACCGCGCAAGCGTTCTCGCGGTGAAGTGGAGTGCTGGGGGTGTTGGAGTTTAGGAACTCCCGCCAGAGACGGGCACCATGTCTGGAACAACGGGGTGCGACTTTCTTCAACAACAGGACCTCCTGCCCGCGCGTCAGCGGCCGCTGCTCTACGTTGCAATGGTGGAGAAGCGAAACATTCTGCGCGCGAGGCGAGAGATGTCGGAGAACAAGGCGGTGGAATATCAGGGCGCGGACGTGGGCCAGACGATGCAGGGCGAACCGCCCGATGCAACGGAAACGGACGGTGGCCTATCGACGGCCCGACGTATTTCTCGGCATTGAAGAGCCAAGATTCTTGCAACCTTCCGCGCATCCTTATTCTGCGGTTTGACTGTCAGGGGGTATCATGGCCTTCTATTCTTCTTTCCAGACGGTCACGGACCCCCTCCTCCTCCGCGCACATGCCTCTGGCCATGATGCGATGCCCCCTTCTTCTCAGCCCCCCTGGTAGCCTCACCTTCAGAATCCTAATATGGATGATGCTCAGGACGTGTTAGCGTCTATGTAGTTGAACTCCGTAGATAGCAGACAGCCTGAGCCAGTCCATTACGCGTTGCTTGCGTCACACTGTAGGGTTCCAGTGGACAAGCACACTTTGGCATTGGCGTACGGTCTGAGGATCATCGTGTGATTCCTCGAGGCGCCGTCGGAAGGCTCGTGGAGTCCTGGAACGGGGTGTCGAAGATCCTGTCCCCTGGTGGAGGGCAAACTGGAGGGAAGATGAGAGCGGGGGGGAGGAGTGCGGAGGTGGGAGGAGGTGGCGGATGGATGAAAGATGTGGCGGAGGAAGGAGGACTCGTGCAAGGCATTTCTTCTTGCAAAGGCATGCGGCTCGACGGCACGACAATCCTAACCTCACTCCATGCACTCGGCTAGCCAGTCCTGCTTTCAACCTGCGAGGATGGAGGGATGCAGGGAGGAGGAAGAGGGGGACGAGGAGGAGGAGGAGGAGGACGATGATGAGCAGGAGGAAGAGGAGGAGGAGAACGGGGAAGCGGGAGGGAGGGTCAAGATGAGGAGGAGAGGAAGGGGGACGTGGAGGAGTGAGGATGGAGATGGAGGATGAGAATGGTGGCGGATGGAGGAGGGAGGATGCTGGAGTGATGAAGAATCAGGAGAAGGAGAAACAGGAGGATGGAGGAGAAGGAGGAGGATGAGAGGACCACGATCATGATGTTGTTAGTTCACTAGCGACAAGGTGGAGGGAGGAGGAAACACGTATGCTGGAGGAAAATTGATGCGGATGCGCACCGACGGGTGCCATTGGTGCTTGCTTGGCGAGAGCGGGTCCCCGGATTCCCGACAGCTTCTTCTCTGGACAGGTTATGGGATCGCTGCACCCGCCCCGCACATGGAGGGTACATACGAGGGGGGTGTAGCCCAAGATGGGGTCAGGGAGCCAACCCAGCTTGAGTCTGAGACCACTTGAACCCTGCCCTGCCCCTACAGGTCCAACCGACCCTGGGGTATCGGACACCCCCGCTGGGGTTCACCTGGCGGCAGACATCCTTCAAATTCTGAACCCCAGCCGGCGCCTCAGAACTCTGATCTGCAGGGGTAGGATTCACACGTCGAGGACCATTGAGGCTGATGTTTCCCTCTTCCAGGGGCCCTCGAGGGCGATTCTTCTCGAGCTACACCTGGCCCTGAGCCCCGTCTCGACGCCCCCCACCCGAGCAGAGGGTGGCGCTCAGGAACCTCACGACACAATGACCGCTTCGAGACCGCGAAGTTTTTCGCGGTTCGCAATTCGCGATTCTTCATCCTCACCTTTCTCGTCCTCCTCTTCTCTCGGCTGGCGGCGCGAGAGCGCGACCTGATTCGCGCTCTCGCGCTTGGCGAAGCGCGAAGCCGTGGTCGAGCGATCTTTGGCTGAGGGGACCCCCGCGGGCGGCCGCGCCCGCCCCTGCCGCCGCTGGTGCCGCCGCGGCAGCGCGGCAGGTGATCCTCGCCACGGGCTGCGCGGAGCGGCTGCAGGCCTCTGGCCCGCCGTCGGACCTTGTCTCTTTCGTCGTCGTCGTCGTCGCCGCCATCATCGCCGCTGCCGTCGTCGTCGCCGCCATTGCCGTCGTCGTCGTCGTCGCCGCCGTCGCCTTCGCCGTCGCCGCCGTCGTCGTCGTTGTCGCCGCCGCCGCGGCCATCGTCGTCGCCGTCGCCGCGGCCGTCCCCGTCCTCGCTGTCGTCGCCGTTGTCGCCATCGTCGCCGTTGCTGTCTTTCTCGTCCTCCCCATCATCTTCCGAGTCCTCTTCCTACTCGCACGGTAGTTTTTCGCATTGTCCTTGCCCTAATTGTCTTTTCCTTTCCGCCGCCGTTTTCTCTCGGGGGCACGGTCGGTGAACATACTGTACACCGCATTTGTTGATGGAGTCATCCTTCTCCAGTTGCATTTTGCTTGAACAAGGGCGGGGATGGCACAGCATATTCGTCTGCTGGGGTGGGTGGAACCCTCAATCGTGCACTTGTGAGAGATTTTCGGAAGTGGTGGCGGAGACATCAAACTGTGACTTGGTCCTTCTGGCGGGTACGCAGACAGTAGAACAGAGGCAGCAGAGAGTTCACAGTGTTGTGACGAAACGGCATGTACTAGGGCGGTGCGTCTTGGAAGCCCCGCTCCCTCTCTCCCTCCCTCTCTTCCTCTCCCTCTTCTTTCCGTCGTGTGCTTTAGTGGCCGCACGCCGATGGGGGCCTGGAAACCTCGCTCTAGACCCCCGCCCTGGCCAAGTGGACTCCGCGTGCGCGGCGCCGGTAGCGGCGGCGCTGGGGCGAACCGTCGTCCGCACTCGGTGTCTGCCTTCCTCTTCCTTGGCATCGCTCGGACGTGTGCATTTTGTCTTGGCGGTGACCATCCAGGAACATCCTGGCCATCGCGCAACAAAAGTAAACGCACGAAACCTAAAAATGCAGAGGGATTTGGGGTCCGAGCGATGGCAAGCCTCCCTTCCCCGTCCTCTTCCTCCCTCTCTGTGCCTACCCCGCCCTACATGCCCGGGGGCACCCGAGTGGGTCCCCACCCCGGTCACATTGGGGGACCCCGAGGCAAACGAGTTGTCATGGTCCAGGGCCCCTCGTCGGCCACCGACTGGACCCCGCCTCTTCGATGCCTGGATTGTTGGCAATGCTGGCCTGGCTGGGCGTTTTCAGGAATGAATGGATGAACTGACGAATGAATGACGTGCCAACGTGGAATATCAAGGACGTCGCTGACGGAATTACACCGGGGCGACAGTCACCCGCGAATGCCCCTGCTCGCGGAGGCGGAGGAGGAGGAAGAGGAGGAGGAGGAGGAGTATGAGGAGGAGGAGGAGGAGGAGGAGGAGGAGGAGGAGGAGGAGGAGGAAGAAGAGGAGGAGTAGGAGGAGTCGGAGGCGGAGGCGGAGGCGCAGGCGGGGGAGGAGGATGAGGAGGAGGAGGTGGAGGCGGAAGAGGAGGCGCAGGCGGAGGAGGAGAAGGAGGGCGGCCAGCAATAGGCCCTACCTCCCCCTTCCCTCCCTCCGTCTCCCTTGCCCTCTCTCTCCACTCTGGGCTCGAGAGCGCTGCGCGACCCGGGCGTAGCCAAGACATGTGACTTTCCGCGCCTTCCAGCCCGGTGAGATTGTAACCGTATCAACCGTGCGGGACTGAAACGTGTCACATCCAGTTCTTTCCGCGCGCGCCATGGCTCCGAAAAACCCACGCCGTGCGCCGTTTGCACCACCGCAGCCCAAATCACCAGTTAATGGCCGCCCAATGGCTACTTCAACGGATCGGCAGGATACCGGCTTTAGTCGAAAGGAATCTTGCGTCGCCAACATTGAAGAGCAATCGTGGCGTTGACCGAGCAGTCGCTGCATACAACGAACTGGCTTACACACACGCACGCAGACCAAATCGATTTTGACATCATGTACCAAGCAACGCCGCTCCAACCAGCGCGAGCCCAGGGGCGAACTGATGAAATTGTGTAGGGGAAGCAGCACTCGCTACACCATGCTGCACTACTCCCTCACGTACAAGTTGAGTTCCAGCCGCGAATCACCAGGGTTAGCGGCTTCCGCCGACGCCCACCAGGGCAACGTCACCGCCCCAGCCATCAGCCTGGACGCACTAAGTCGGGATGCCCTTGTCGCTCTCACCCCCAACAGGGCGAAAGGCGGGACGTCATGCACCGGTAGCATCTCTTCCCGCTCGCTAGAGGGGGGTAAGCGCCTCCTGCAACATATCTGTCGGCAGAACACCCTCCTCGCAATGGCCGTCCTGGGGGCGATCAGCTCTGTTTTCCCAGGGCAAGAGTCTTTTCTCCTTGTCCTCCAGCGGGCGGGTAGGCAAGACAACGGGAACATTCACCAATTGGGCCGCACCGCAGTCAATTTCGCAAGGTCGCCCTCGGCCTAGCTCACGACGTCATTTGGATCCGAGGCGCCGCGTGCGAAGCCGATGCGATGGTGGCCGCGCCGGCGTTGGAAGCGCCACTAGGTCAATCAGGGACTCCTGAAGTTTTTCCCGAATATGCAAAAGCTATCAGAAAGTTACGAAAAGCTGGAAAGTTGATTGGGGCCCTCCAGCACTCTGCGACGTCCATGCCGGATCAACTTTTCACGCTCCCGAGAAGTAACTTCTCGCCGTCCGGAGAGTAATTCGCAACCAGTTTCCGCAAGTCAAAGACAGTTGCACCGTATTTGTCCGCACGCGGGAAAGTTGCTGGAAAGTAGGAACAAGTTTGGGAAGTTACCTTTCCCCTGTCTCCGCAAGTCACAGAAAGTTGTCAAGTAGTTTTTCCGGACGCTGGAAAGTGCCTGGAAAGTTCGAAAAAGTGGGAAAAGTTATTCTTCCGAACCCCCGAAAGTTTACCAAAAGGTGACATAAGGTTAGAAACGTAAATTTCGGGGATTCCTCAAAGTTCGCGAAAAGTTGAAAAAAGTTTGAAAAGTTGACCCGCTGTCGCACGACCCGGCCTGCGCCGGTTCCGGGGAGGCGGGGGGGCGCGGGGGGAGGCGGCGCGACCTACCCCCCCGCAAAAGTTCAGTGCGCGCGCTGATGGGGGAGACTGACGGCGCGATCCATAGTTCGCCCCATGGCGCCGTCGACGGAGAGAGCGCTAGCGAGATCGACACTGAGACATCCTCGGAACTCTGGTGTCCGAGGCCACTTTGGCCTGAGACATCCTCGCAACGCTGATATCGGAGACGTCTTGCGCGCGTCTTGCGCGCGTTCACTCTTCGCAGGGCCGCAGGGATTCCTTGATTACCCTTGCGAGTCGCGCCGCTGCAGTTCCACCGAAACCGAAAGGTCCCCAAGACGGCGCGAGAAGGATTTTGAACAGAGGATGCCCTGACAGGATGCGCCCATTCATGCTCCAGAACGGGCTCGCGAAATCCCCGCGACGTTGCCGGAGGATTCAGCGTGGCTCCCGCGTGGCCCACTTGCGGGCCGCGCGTCCACGAAATGTCCGGCGCGCGCCTCGCGCGCCAACTTGTCGGCCACCCGGGGAGTTGCTTTCGACTGCCGCGGGGAGTTGCAAACATTTGAATAAACGACGTTCGGGCTCCAGAATAAGTTGGGCCGGCCAAGGGTGAAGTTGAAGAAATACTTTTCGGAAGGGGCCGAAAGTTGGTCAAACGTCGGAGCAAGTTTTCATACGTAGCTTCTCGGGGGGGGGGGGGGGGCTGGGCCCGACAGTTGCCGAAGAGTAACTTTCAGGGGGGGTGGGGGGGCGGGAAGTTGAAACAGTTTAAACTCGTCAGGGGTTTCCAAGGCAAGTTGTGGCAAAGTTATTTTTCGGGCGTCTGGAAAATTGGAAAATGTTGAGCAGGTAACTTTCGAAAGTTGCCGCCCCCGACGAGCCAGCTCGAACAAGTAGCTTTTGACGAGCCCGCTCGACAAAGTAGCTTTTCGGAAGGGGGGGGGGGGGGGGGGGGCATTTCCCAAGCGTTGCCGAGAAGCATCTTTCAGGGCAGGCCTGGAAGTTGGATGCAGTTCAATGATAGTTAAAGTGTTGCCGAGGAAAATCGGAGAACAACTCCTTTCCGGGGGCGTGGAAAATGGGGGAAAGTAGAACAATAAGTTTTGAAAGATGCCCCCTCTGGGGCCCAACTTTCCGGAAGTCGTTGGGAGTTCCCATCTCCGCTACGCAGCCAAGCGCGACCGCGCGCGGCAGCGAGCGGACAGCGACCTCACGCGCGCTTGCGCAGCCACCCTCGCCTCCCGCGCCCGCGCCGTCGGAGGCCGAGGGCATGTGCAGCTTCTGGGGCGACGCGGAGCGGGCGCGGGTAAACGTCACTTCGCGCCCTCCCGTGGACTCGCACCAGAAGACGTGCTTGTGGTCGTGTTCGCGCCTGGCCAGGGCGCCGCCCAGTTCGACGCCGGCAACCGCGGCGCCAATGGGCCGCGGCACAGTGAGTGCACCGCGGCGCGGTGCCCTGGCGCCCGCCAAAACACGCCCGAAGAAACGCGCGTAACCGCGCAAAGGCGCAACGCCAATGGCACTATCCGCGTGGACAAAGGAGTGGGCGTCCGCGTCCAGGCTGGCGTGCCAGGGCCAAGCAGGCTCGCGGGCGCCGAGCCACAGAGTGCCGCGAAAACGCAACCATCACATAGCACTGTCAAGTGCAGCGCGCAGGATGACATAACCGCCCGAGGTGATTTCGCTATCGCCAAGGCGGCCGCGCCGCGGCCAATCGCCGCTGTCTGCGTCCAAAGACCAAGTGGGGCGGTCGCTTCAAAGGAGGTGCTCGTTGCGGGGGGCGGCTCGCAGCGGGGGCGCTGCCGTCTGGGCCGGGCGCCCGCGCCTCGCCCTCGCTCCACTGCGTCGTGGCCGCTGGGCCACGTCGGCAATCCCTGCTGGCGCCGCCGCCAGACCGCCGGAGAGCAGCGGCCCCTCCCGGGCGCCCCGCCGCCTGGCGTGAAACCGCGCGGCACCGGCGTCGAGAGGGCAAGCGGGCCCTCTGGCGGCGCTGCCAGGCAGGCCGCGGAACCTACAGGGGGCGGCCACATGCCGGCCCAGAGCCGGCGCCGCGGGCCCTGCGCGACGCAGAGGACTGCGACATGGCGGAGCGTCAAGTACAATGCGAGGGCGCCGCGACCCGCCGACGTCGCCCGCGGATCGATCCGATCCAGCGGGCCGCAGGGGGGGCTCCGAGGGGGCGCGGCCCCCAGTGCCAGGCGTCGCAGGAATCCCGGGCCAAGCCCGCGATAATCAGGGCCTTGGAAGCTGATCCACAGCAGCTGGCCGACGTGGTCAGGCGCCTTGAAGCCGATGCGGCGAGCGCGGCTGCTAGCCGAGCCCAGCAAAGCAAACGCGGCCTGCGCGAGGGTTCTCCTCTGCGCGACTGGGGCAGACCAGCCCCCTCGGCCTGCGCGGCGCGAGCGGCCGATTCCCCCCCGAGCTTCGGCGCCCTGCTACCAGTCCCGCGAGCGCATTGAAGTTGGGCCACAAACGGGGGATTACCGCAGCCAGTCGGAAAAGTTGAGCGGGGTGCGACCCCGCAGTCATGCCGCCCCGCCGCCCCCGTCCCGAACCACTGCAGGGGCCGCGCTGAGGGGGCCTCGGTGCCCCCCCCCTCCCCCCGCCGAGGCGGCGCTCGCTAGCTTCTGCGGGGTTTCTGCGGGCTCGCTATAGCGCAGCGTGCGCGATTGGCACCGTTGCTTTAGTTCTCGCAGTCGTCGGGTTTTACTTTGACGTTCCAAGCTCGCTTCCGCCCGTATCTCGCCGCTCCGCAGAATTGGTCGGCGACGCTTGCCCGGCATGCCGCGCGCGAGCTTGCGCCGCCTGCGGGCGGGCGTCGTCGCGCGCCTCGGCCGCGCGAGGGCCCTCCGCGCCCGGGTCGCCGCCCGCGGTCTCCCATTGGGCTAGATCGGGGCAGGGGCGCCAGTTTCGACGCCCAATTGCCCCCCCCGGCGACCGCGCCTGCGAGCGGGGGGGGTGGCGACGCTCCGCCCGCGCTGACGACGGGGGCGCCGAACTGCCGCTCCCGCTGCGTCCAAGGTGCCAGCGAAACGATCGGCCGCGAGAGCGCGTGCCGCGCGGGGCGCCGCTGCCCTGCCGAGGCCGCAAGAAGCGTCGGCAGCCTGTCAGGGGGGGCCGACGGCTAGCAGCCAGCCTTGACGAGCAGCCGCAGCGGCACGGGGCGGCCGCATGCTTGAGAAGCGACGAGGAATCTGGGCCGAGGACGCGGGGCGACTTGCCGGCCCCGCGCCAGCCGAGCCATGCAGCATGAACGTCGTTGAAGCCTGGCGCGTCGCCGCGGGCGACGCGCGCGCTGGTCGGCAGACGCCCGCCTCGCCGACGACGCTTCCTATCCGCGCGATGACGGGGGTAACTCGTGAGGGAGACCGGTTGCGACTGCCTCCGTGCCGACCGCCCCCTGGCGAAGGGTGCGCCGGCAGCGGGGCCGAGGGGCGCCGGTCTTATAGCCCGCGTCGCTGGCCTGGCGGGAATTCGCGACCCCGCCCATGATCTCGGCGAGGACGCGGGCCTAGCCGACGACCCAACGAAGGCCCTGACGACGGGGGGGCCGCGCGCGGGCGCGAACCCCAGGGGCCGCGCGCGAGCCGAAGCTGCGCGAGACGGACACTGGCGAACTGCCGCCGCCAGGGCATCTTCGGCTGCGCTCAAGGCGCGATTGAATTGGGGCCGCCGCTGGGCGGGGGGCAGGGGGCGCCCCCGAGATGGATGGGCCAGTGTGCTGCGCGGGCGACGAATGACGCGCGGCGCCCCAGCGGCGCCCCCGCATTCCAGGCCGCGAGCGACCGATGTGCGCCTCTCGAGCGCAGGCGTCAACGCGATGCCTGCGACGCCTGTCTTAGAGCGTGAAAACACACGTGTGACCCGGGCCTTCGCGCGCGGAGCCTTCACTACCGCGCGCTGACCGCGGGGCGCGCTTCGTCGCCTGCTCCGCCACTTCCGCGGTGGCGCGTCGGCGGCGTCGCGCCAGCCGATGCAACATATGCGTTGCCTACGGATGCGAGGATCTCCTGAGCTGTGAACCACCGCGCGCGGGTGTCCAGTCCGAGCTCCCCGCTGCAGATCCACCGTCTCTCCCAGACCAAACCAGACACGTTCAGAGTCGAGAAGGGTGAGCGCCGCCTGGGTGAGCGAGGCATCGGCGAGAGGCGCGTCGCGCCGACCGTCGGACCGCCGAGGCCTTCAACTGCCGCGCAGGCGAAATCGCCGCGGCCGGCGTGCTCCTGCGCAGCGTGCCGCAAAACCACATCGACGCTGCCAAGTGACAGCGCAAGGTCGCGCCGCCTTCTACTGCGCGGCTGTCGCTATTTACTGCCCGCGTCGCCAGACGCGCCCGCTTCCGGACAGAAGAGCGGGCCGCTAAGCTTGAGCCCAACGAGATGAAGCCCAACCCTCCCTCCACTGGCCCAGGCGGCCACGAGTCGCCGGGCTCGCCGGGCGGCCCCGCTCACCCCGACGGCCCACCAGGGCCCGACTACTTCGAGCACCTCCTCGATCCTTGGACGGGCCTGCTCGACGATTTCGATTGCGAAGAACTAGACCCGCTCGGGCTTGGTACCTCCCTTTGCAAAGACGAAGGAAATGGGTCACCTTTCTCCCGAAGTCACCGAAGAGACGATCACAGCGACCGCGACGATCACCGTGACGCGCGTCAACCAAGATTCTCCAAAGGGCAAGTGGAAGACGTCCATGGTCAACAGGATCGGGCCGCCAATGCCAGCTCCCATCATCACCGGGCCAGCTCCTCCTCCCACCAAGATACATGGAGCAGCAAACGGTAAGGGACTGCCGTCGGAACAGGGCGGGGTGTTATGGAAAACAAACCAGCGAACGGACCGTAGACAATCCGTCACGCAGCACCTCGCGGCAGTTAGTCGGCAGCCAGAAGGTGACCGCGAAACGGTCCCCATCGCTAGCACCAACGCGCTGCATCAGAGGGCCAACCACCTCGCCCAACCTTTCCAGAACATCCAGGAATAGTCACCCCCTCTGCTATAGACGGCCTCCAACAGGTTTTTCGACTCGTCGCTTCCCTCGGGGCGTCCCTCCAGGACAGCCTCCCGGTTCTCCTTGCTGTTCAACGCGCGGCACACCTGTGTTAGCACCGTCTCCTCCCAGTGTGCTTCACGAGCTGTTGGCTCCTGTTCCGTTGCCCACTTTCTGGGCCGCCGCGGGGGATGCCCCAAGATGGCGCCGCCATTGTGTGGGCGCCGTATCGCGCATGCCAAAGCGTGTGTGCAGCCCGCGTCTCACTGTTTGCGGGTGTGCTGGAAGGTCGAACTTTTCGCCCCTTGTCACCAATTCCCTGCAGTGCTTCCATTCGCGGGGACTTCATCGCGCCATGGGGGAGGGCAGTCCCATACCTCCTGATCGCGCAGGCGGCACCTCCCGCCGCACGACGTGGGTGCGGCGGGCGCTTGCACCCAGCGCGCCCGGACGGACACACCGCCCGAACCTTTCCGATCTCCCTCTCCCTCTCCCTCCCCCCCTCCCTCCCTCCCTCTCCCCTCCCCCCTTTCCCTCCCGCCCCCCGCCGCCCCACTCCCCAGACATCCCCGAGGGCCCCCTCCGCACCCCTCAGCCGGCGCTCCCGCGCGCGCGCGCGGCACGCACGGCCTCGGAGGCCGCGCTCGGCTACGACCCGCTGCTTGACAGCAAAATCATACCGCGCGACGGGAGGACCCGCCGGGAGGTCGCGAAATGTGCACCTACCGGGTTCGCAGCGACGACGACGACGATGACGACGCCGAGATCCGGGCGTATCAATGTTTTTGTCAGAACGGGTGTTTTCGCCTGGTTTCGGGCACTGGGACCACCACAGGTTGTTCCGGCTTGA